TGGTTCCATTAACATCTTATTTTTAATTCTCTTATTATATTCCAAATCTTCGCGTATTCATGAGGCATATATTAGGCAAAAATGTTCAATTTGAGGAAATATTTCACTTTTAGGAGGAAACATTTGATAATAATGAATTATGGAACAATTTAAAGCATAATTCACGTTATCTGGGTTAAAAATGTGATATTTTGTTTTGGTACCATATAAAGATATAATTTTGGGAAACTCTTTGTTACGTCTGGGGATAGGAGTGGAAGGGAATTAAACGTGAAAGGAAAAGAATATTTGTATGTGGAAGGGGAAGCGAGACCTAGCCCCCGCGCCCTTGATACCGTCGAAAGGAGTTATGGGAAAGGAAATTTTCTGGGCCTCTCAGCGAGTCCTACGCGGACTTGTTGATATTGGTGGAGGTGTAAAAGTGACGACGCGAGGTTTAAAGTGTAATAGGTTTATTGGAATAATAACGAATTATATGGGATACAAGAGTGATTGAGTGCGCATATGAGTATGTGTGTATGTGTGGGAGTATTTTTAAATACCTTGTGTCAACAATTTTGTATGTTGATGTTGATCCGGCTCGAAGGACCATTATATGTTAACGTGTTAGTTCACGGACCCGCGCACCCGTCCGTTCAAACCTCTATAATTCCGCCAATTTTGCGAATTTCTTAACAATATTTGGAGGAATATTTTCAAGACTATAGGCTATATGGACATGCAAAAAACCGAAAATCTATTTTTTGATCGAACAGAATGCATCTTCTCCCTTAAGGTGAAGTGAAACACGTCGAGGAACTTGATCGACGTCGATAGAGAAGATTTTTCTAAATGCCTACGTTGCCGACGTTCGTTTTTATATTGACAGCCGTGTCGAATTATATTGGGTATTATACCAAATGGCCTACTCCACCTGTCGTTTTCGTACAATAATTATAAAGAAATCGAAGTAAAACTCCAGAAATCCTCTGGATTCATGCTTTCTGGGGCCCTAATTGACTGCAGAGGGATCCCCTGCGCCATCTGTGATTTCCAGATTAATTAAATCTTCACTCCGAGACGTCGTATTACCATCGTTTTGGCATATAAGCGCATACACCACTTTTTTTGCCTTTATCCCGTTCAAATGCGAGTTTATCGATTACCAGAGGGTTCTAAATTGTCGTTGAATTGTCCTGACCCTTTCGATTCCCATATCAGAGCCTTCGATAATTGTATATTGATCGAAATATGAGAGCTCGACACCATTTAGGTTCTGGTCTGGGTTGAGTTAAAACTTTTTTTTTTTTAATCCAAATTTTGAATGTGCAGGACAATTCTTAGATGATCAGGAGTGATGTGTCAAAGTTTCGGACAGTTTGGTCTAATACCCTTAACGGCGTTCACCACCAAGTGGGGACGATTACTTCCACCGCTAGATGGCATTAGCATCGAATTCGGTGGGAGGTAACCAAAACATACTTTCTCGCTCGGATGAGGGTGACGCGACGCATAATGGGCAGTGTTTAGCAACGGGCGAAAAATGTGTGTGTATTTTGCACGTATACAACTCACACAACGGCTAGACGCCTCTGGACTAGGCGCCGAAACGTGTGTGACACTCGGCCGCACGCACACGCAAGTTGGACGCTCCGCCTAGAGTCGGCAACGGTTGCTAAGGAATGCCCAAATTCCTCGCGAGAAACTTGAAAATCCTGAAAAAGGTGCTCCACGGGGACAACGATTTTGAGCGTATTTCTCAACCGATTGAGCTCAACGAGTGCTCGTTTTAAAGATAAAATGTTGACGTGTGTTTATATGGGAGCGATTTTCGATCAAGCACCTCCTTCCTAGGTAAAAGGGCATTGAAATTATGTCGTTGCACTTTTTTTATATGATAATGACCACTTATCGAAAATCGCTCCCATATAAACACAGGTCAACATTTCATCTTCGATATGAGCACTCGTTAAGCTCGATCGGTTTAGAAATACGTTCGCGTGAGGCCCTGCAAAATCGCTGGAGTGGTGAGCGCCCTTAAGAAAAAGTGTTGTATTCGAATCGACTGATTTGAAGGGTGTTGCACTTCACCTTAAGCAAAAAATGTAAGTTATATCCCTTTTTGAGGAGCCTAGGCCTCCCGGTCCTAGTCCGACAAGCCGATGCACGTACAGGGCACATATGCATGGGCAGGGAGCGTTATGTGGGACGTAACACTTCGTCTGGGTTAGGAATGTGATATTTTGTTTTGGTCCAATGTAGAGATATAATTTTGGAAAACTCTTCATCGACTCCTGATTTTTCGCCAATTCGTGACTCTATTATCCGTAACCTCCGAATTACTCGGCTGCCCGGTTAATTTCAATTCCACTCCGGTTTCCCTCCACGTCGAAGAGAATCCTGATGAAATTAGCTTCGTAATTCGGTCCCCAGCGATTTGTCAGACGCACGTGTTGCCGTTTTCTGTGACAATCGACCGTTCGCTTCCACCGCGAGCAAAATTCCCTCTCACTTTCTTTTTCTCAAGCTTTTCTCTCCGTGCATTGCTAGGATCACGAAGAACTTACCGTGCCGAAAGTACTTACAATCTATACCAAATATTGTGGAACACTTGGCGAAGTTTATGAATTTCGGAACAAACGAACCAGTGAAACGAATGATCATTACATGAATCAAGAAGTATTAATCACGAATTGCTAGGATATGAACTATTGAATAAATTAATAATTACATAAACCAATAAATAAGTAAAAAAAATAGTTAATTCCTTATCGTTATCCTGTACGATTAAGGGGCGTCGCCTCAAAATATATGAGCGATAGTGTAAACAAAATTGTTTTGGAATATACCCCTTGGAATATACAATTTGTGCGATGGTATGTAAAACTATCATGGATGACCATACCGCTAAGAAATTCTAATTATCTAATTATTTTTTAATATCGTTGAGTATATCGGCAATATAGTTGATACGTAGTTATCAAATTCCCAAGATATATCGATGGGTCATATGTATTGTAAATTGTGTGTTTAATTTGTATATGGAAGCTTTCAAGAAAAGAAGCCCAGATGAAAAGATGTATGGAGTGGAAACTTGGGAGGGTATAAAAACATGTTGCTTTGACCTCGAAAATCCGAGAACCCTCGTGTAGAAAATATCGGAAGTTTTGGCGAGCGCGTTGCACCTCATCCATAAGTATCGACCTCATTGACCGGTAGGTGACATCGGGTCCTCGACGTTGAAGAGGGCCTCGAAGAAAGGGCGAAAACCGAGGCCGACCCGAATGGGATGGGGAAACAGTGTCGGCTTTTGAAAACTCCCCTCGTCTCTTGGCGTGGGTGTTTTTCTTCCTACGATAGGGAAACCGGATCCCTTACCTTTCCACGTGGAGGCCCGGATCAATTACTTTTCTTTTATGGCTAAAGACACCGCAAGAGACCGTCTAAATATGCCGGCAGTCGACACGTGGCAGGTTATCGTTTTCTAAAGGGGAATTTCTTACTCAAATCCAATGTATCACTAAAAAATGATATAATGTCAAAATAATGTTACTTTCAAACCGTTATTTATTTATTTTTTTTTTCCAGGAAAGAACCTTTCGGTGTCAATGTGCTATATGTAAAATGTCATAAAACATGGTTAAAAGAAAATAAATGGTAACTCGAAATTAAAAGAAGGGATCTTAAAGACACTCTGTATAATGAATGAAACATTATTAGCTGTTTTGAAATGATATATTTACATGGATTAAGATTAGACATTTTATGTTGAACTTTTTCAAGACATCGACAATTCATATTTGACCGTTGTCAGTTTTAGAAGGTCGAAGAGTTCGTCGCGGAGATTTTTAAAATTTCATTTTTTGAGGGAGAAACCTTATGACGTCAGTATGGTATATTTAAAATGTTCATAAAACATGGTTAAAAGAAAAGGGAAGGTAACTCGAAATTAAAAGAAGAATTCTTAAAAGGGACACTCTGTTCCATGTATTAAACATTATGAGCTGCTTTTGAATGATGTGCTTTCGTGGATTAAATTTAAGCACTTTATGTTGAACTTTTTGAAGAGATCGACGTCAATATGCTATGTAGGATCAAATTTCAAGTGTCAGGATTAACATGAACGGTTGATTTATTAATAAAAAAATTAATATAAAGAAATTGAATACGTTGAAGAGTACGTCTTAAAGATCTCAGAAAAAGGGACTTGATTTTCCCTCCGACTTCGCTCGAGCTCTCCTCAATCAGAACTAACTCCCATTCGATCATTCNCAAATTTCAAGTGTCAGGATTAACATGAACGGTTGATTTATTAATAAAAAAATTAATATAAAGAAATTGAATACGTTGAAGAGTACGTCTTAAAGGTCTCAGAAAAAAGGAACTTGATTTTCCCTCCGACTTCGCTCGAGCTCTCCTCAATAGGAACTAACTCCCATTCGATCGTTCTCATCCAGCCTCACTCTAATTTCTTTCTCACTCAATTCATATTCCTCACTCTCTCATTCCCACACTTATCGATACATTTCTTTGTGCGCCAAAATTCTTACTCACTGAGTCATACGGTCGCTCGCACTTCACGAACTCTCAACCACGCATAAACAGTATCACCTATCGAGCTGTCATTTAATCTAAATACTTCTCATTTCACCCCACAATCATACAAACATTACATTTCACTCTAACTTCTATTTAGTCTTATTCTTAATCTTTTTTGCCTTATTGGCGACACAACTATTCGTATAGCTAAACGCTTTCATCTTTTTTTTATTGTATTAAATTTATTGGACCGCACAGGGCACTGACACTACATGCTATATTCCAAAAATATTCATAAAACGTGTTTAAAAGAAGGAAAAAAGTAACTCGAAATTAAAAGTAGGGATCTTAAAAAGGACACTCTGTGCAATTAATTAAACACTACGAGCTGTTTTTGAACGATCTGCTTATGTGGATTAAGTTTAGGAATTTTTTGTTAGACTTTTTAAAGAGATCGACAATTCATATTTGATCGTTGTCAGTTTTAGCAGGTCGAAGAGTACGTCGCGGCAGGCCGCGACTTGGAACCAGAGGCGGAAGACACCTGTCGTCCGTACACGCGAATTCTCCCTCGAGGAACGATTGGTTGCCACTTGACATGAGGACGACACCACCGGCGATGCCTGCTTTTCGTGGATTCGAGGAACCCTCTTCCGACGGCGTGGTGAGTGCTTTAATCCTGTGCATTATTTAATTACATATTTATCTATTCGTTAGTACAGGTAGTTCCCGCCTTTACGAAATAATTGGTCCCTGGCAGCCGTTCGCGAGTGGAGTATTCACAAAGAGGAACTTATACGTACATAACTCACATTTGCATTCATTTTTCACCGACATCGTCTAACGACTGCCTAACGACTATTATTTTGGTCGTCTTTCGGTAATGTTCACGAATTATCTTAGTTCAATTCGATTTAATGGGATTTTAAAGTCATTTATTTACTAGAAATGAGTGATATTAGTCACTTGGTCGTAATTTTATTCACGTGATCGGATGTGGGTTAAGAAGGAATGTATCGAGTATAAACATTCGTAAAGTGTGAACTACCTGTACCTGAACTGATCAGATCAGTTATCTGGATAGTCACGAAGAACGTTTAGGAAAATAGTTAAAGAAATGTTCTCTCCTCCGTGCCATTTTCGAAGAGCTTTAAAGCTATTAAGAGGATGCCGAAGAAATAGGAATCGTATACCGTTGTTTTTATGTATATTAAAAATATTTTGCGAACCACTGGAAATAGAGATATTTCGCGCCTCTTTGGTCGCACATTGCTTCAAGGCACGTTTTGGAAAGAGGTCCGATTGGAAACGGATGTCAAAGGACGCGGCTTCCGACACCGTAGGTCGTGCAGGAAAATTCCAATGGAAAGATGGAAAGGGAAGTTCGGAAAAGACTTTCCGCTAAAAGCTGTCGCGGTTGTCATCGGATGTCATGTTTATACGTGTACGCAGTCGCAGCCAATCCATTGGTGCATGTGTTGGGCATGCGTATTTTCCAGTTCTTATAACCTCAAACGACAAGTCTTTTTTACGTTAATCTTTCCGTTTGTACAGTTACGGTGTTTTATCAGAAACTATCCACGGTACCACCGTTGTCCAAATTAAAAACTAAAAATAGCTTCTTCCCTTGTTCTCGCACTAACCTGAATTTATCTTATTACTATTAAATTAATTGCACCCATGAAGTGGTATAAAGTCAATAGATGGTTCCAAAGAAAGTGACCCCAAGTATCGGGACCCAGGATCTCAGATTTTCGCGGATCTAACGATGCAAGCCCTACTTACGGAAAATGAGGGAACTTGGATCCTACGTGACCAAAACACTTCCTATTCATGCAAATGACCTAAAATGCTTTTAATTTTGCATTTAAGGTACGCAAAGCGAAACGATAATCCGCGGATGATGTACAGAATGTGATGTTTTTAACGTGATAAGGACTAGCGGATCGGCTAGCGGACGATTATATTTTTATTTGCAAAATTTCCTCGAAGAGGCCCTCTTGGCGCTGGATGGGAAAACATCTGAAGATCTTGGACCCCTAAGGTGAAGTGACACACCCTTCAAATCAGTCGATTCGAATACAACACTTTTTTTTAAGGGTATTAGACCAAACTGTCCGAAACTTTGACACATCACTCCGGATCGTCTGAGAATTGTCCTGAGACATTCAAAATTTGAATTTTTGAAAAAAATTGTTTAACTGAGCCCAGACCAGAACCAAAATGGCGTCGAGCTCTCATGTTTCGATCAATATACAATTATCGAAGGCTCTGATATGAGAATCGAAAGGGTCCGGACAATTTTACAACAATTTAGAACACTTTGGTAGTCGATAAACTCGCATTTGAACGGGATAAAGGCAAAAAAAGTGTTGTATGCGCTTGTATGCCAAAACGATGGTAATACGACGTCCCAGACTGAAGATTTAATTAATCTGGAAATCACAGATGGCGCTTGGGGTCCCTCTGCAGTCAATTAGGGCCCCAGAAAGCATGAATCCAGAGGATTTCTGGAGTTTTACTTCGATTTCTTTATAATTATTGTACGAATACGACAGGTGGAGTAGGCCATTTGGTATAATACCCAATATAATTCGACACGGCTGTCAAAATAAAAACGAACGTCGGCAACGTAGGCATTTAGAAAAATCTTCTTTATCGACGTTGATCAAGTTAATCGACGTGTTTCACTTCACCCTAAAGTGGGGACGATTTCAATACATGGCGTTATATCTCGTACTACTTCGTAATGACACATTTAGAGATGCAAATCGAGATGCGTATATTTTTTATCTCGTCACAAATATTGTTCCACGTATTCTTCACCAATCGACGGGCATATTCCATCCACTTGATATCGTTTCCATCGATTTCTCAAGCTGCAGCGTCGACGAACCGTGCGGCCCTGACCGTATCGCATCCTTCGTTTCCGTAATCGAACTCGCGCCGAGGGAGCAGCATCCTTCGTTATCTCTGGACGTATTAGAACTTGCCGAAGTTCCGCTTTCCGGTTGGAATCGACAGGGTGGTTCAATCGTAGTTGGTGTTGCGGGAAATTCGAAATGTGCAACCCTCGAAGTAATTGGCTCGATGAAGCGCGAGCTTCCGTGTATAAAACGTGACTTCGAATCGAACGAAATGTATATAAAAAGTCTCATTACGCGTCCGTTTTCGTGCCGAACCGTGTAAAGTAGTACCGTGAACTGAAAACGAGGAAAAAAAAAACTGCTTACTTATTTGAGAAATTAACATCGACATCGCGGTTGTGGTAAGAAGTAGACTTTATAATTTTGAGAATTATTATTACTCATCCTGATTATCGTTCACTTTTTTGTCAAATAGAAGGGAACGATTACGAAGACCACTTTGACGGCTAATTTCAATTAATTTGACCTAGTCTGATTCTTTTTATGCTTTTCCTGTATACGCTGTCGAGATGAGTTTATGAATTATGAAGATATATATAGAATGACCCTTTTGTATCACCTTAATGATAATGTTACGCATCTTCATAGTATTTCATAATACTTCTGACTTTTTCTTATCGAAAATAACGTATCGTATATTTGTAATATTTCGTAATATACATGTGAAATATAATCCTATTCCAAAAATGTGTATCACATGGAAAGTTTCCATACAAAGAAAGACGCTTAAATCATATTACAGAGCCAAGTACACAAATCACAATTACATATCTACTTATTTTATCAGTCAGGGTTGACATCAATTTATTTTAGTGTACTTACATCCCCGTAAAATATAATATGGAATCCCTAAAGGGGCCTGAAGCATAATACCGTTCCTCGTGCGACAATACTCGACGCTTTATTGATTTTATTGATTCGCTCCTCGGGAAAGTAATTTGCCATTTCCAGCCCGGCAGTATCGTATTAACGATGTTATTATTAGAGATTACTCCGAACTCAGTTGCCTCCACGTGGCGGACCCAAAACAAATACCTGAGCTTTCTCGTGCAAGTCGCCATCATTCGATACTCCCGCATACGTTCGAGGGGGAGGAACCTCTTTCGAAATCTTTACTCTCCTCGCTTTTCTCACTTTTCCCAATAAATAACCGGATTTATTTTGATGGACTGACCCGGACGGTCGCCCTCGGCGCGGCCCTTCCCGGTGCAGAGTTTCTCCTTTTCTGGGATGTGTTGGGTAATATTTCAGAATTCTACAGCAGATCCTTTCAATATTTCACCGGGATCTCGGTGTCGGTTGCATGATCCACTTGCGGCTTGGAATGAAATTTTCGAGTCAGGACGTTCATGGATCTCTGATTACATTTCCGCCTCGATTTTTGTCCATCCTTCGACTTTGATCTTGATGGAACTTAAGAGGATATGAAAGGTGCTAAGAAATTTAATCGACGTCGATAAAATAAAATTTATCTATACCCGTTTTGGTGGTACTGCCGTTTTGAGTACTCAAGTGGGAACATAAGCTGATGCGTCCCATTAACGACATCTATGTTTTTGTTCAAGTCTTTTGCGGTCTACGTTGAACATTATACGAACTGAAGGGTTCCATATGACATTTCGGTAAAGTAATGATAAAAAGATCGATGTAGAACTGTCGAAATCCCATGAATTCATGACTGCTTATACTTTGAAGAATCAACGTTGCCATCTGTGACGTTTAGCCGCAACTAAATTTTTGCTCTAAAAACACGCGTTAGCCGCAGGACAATACAGTATTCTCTTGTAATCGTTGGTGAAAGTATTTACCACATTTTCCCATGTGACTTTATAATATTCCATTTTTACGGTATTCTAAATCGTTCGAGCTAGATCCTGAAACTCTTCATTTTCAGATTCTAAGCCTTCAAGAAGCGTAAAATATCGAAAACGTGCACGGACCACGCCATGTTGGTTCTAGTCCATGATAAGTAAATAAATGTTTGATGAAAAATAAAATTTCATGAGTTTCAGGACCTACTTTAGAGTCTCCATATCCACGTGGTAAAATTTGAAACGAATCGGTACCCCCAATTCGGAAAATACTTTTCCCAACGATTTGACTTTTCAGATATATATAGGCTGACTCTTTTATTTCCTCTTAAGGTGAAGTGAAACCCCCTTCAAATCAGTCGATTCGAATACAACACTTTTCTTAAGGATATTAGACCAAACTGTCCGAAACTTTGATACATCACTTGTGATCATCTAAGAATTGTCCTGACACATTCAAAATTTAAATTTTTGGAGAAAATTGTTTAACTGAGCCCAGACCAGAACCAAAATGGCGTCGAGTTCTCATATTTCGATCAGTATACAATTATCGAAGGCTCTGATATGAGAATCGAAAGGATCAGGACAATTTTACGACAATTCAGAACACTCTGGTAATCGATAAACTTGCATTTGAACGGGATAAAGGCAAAAAAGGGTTGTATGCGCTTGTATACCAAAACGATGGGAATACGAGGTCTCGGAGTGAAGATTTAATTGATCTGGAAATCACAGATGGCGCAGGGGGTCCCTCTGCAGTCAGTTAGGGCCTCAGAAAACATGAATCCAGAGGATTTCTGGAGTTTTACTTCGATTTCTTTATAATTATTGTACGAAAACGCCAGGTGGAGTATGCCATTTGGTACAATACCCAATATAATTCGGTACAGCTGTCGATATAGAAATGAACGTCGGCAACGTAGGCA